TCGAAGACCTCAGAATTACACTGGAAACTGCAACTACTAGAAGAAAACATAGGATCAATACTCCAACATTATGGTGCAGGCACTGACTTCTTCAATAAGACTCCTAAAACTTAAGAAATAAAACCAAGAATCAATAAGTGGGAAGGTATTAAATTACAGCAAAGATAATAATTAAAAGCATGAAGAGAGCAATTACAGAATGAGAGAAGATCTTTGACAGCTATTTTTCCAGCAGGGGATTAATATCCATAATATATAAAGAACCCCCCAAAACACCAGAAAATCAAATAACCCAATCAACAAATGGGCAATTGATCAAAACAGATATTTCTCAAAAGAAGAAATACAAACTATCAACAGATACATGAAAAATGTTCAAGTTGCTCAGCAATCAGGGAAATGCAAATAAAAACTACACTGAGATTTCATCTCTTCAGTTAGAATGTCGATCATCAAGTATGCAAATAACATTTGGAAAGGATGAAGAGGAAAAGATATACATTGTTGATGGAACTGCAAAAATTAGTACAACTACTTTGGAAAGCAGTATGGTGAGACCCCCCAAAACTCAGAATGGAACCAACATATGACTCAGCTATCCCAAACCTTAGTATTTACCCAAAAGAACTAACATCAGCATACTATACTGATGTATGCATACCAGTGTTTATAGTAACACAGTTCTCAATAGGCAAGCTATAAAACCATCCCAGATACCCATTAACAGATGAATGAATAAAGAAAACGGGATATATATATATATATATATATATATATATATATATATGCCTTTTACTTAGCAATAAAAAAAGAATGAAATTATGTTATTTGCTAGTAAACAGATGGAACTGGAGAATATCATACTAAGAGAAATAAGCCAAATCAGAAAGTCAAAGGTCAAATATTTTCTCTCATTTGTAGAAGCTAAAGAGGATCTCAGAAACAGAAAGTAGATCATCAGAGTAGAGAAAGGAAATAGGAAGGAAGAAGGGGAGGGCATGGGGAAGAACTGGAGAACAAAATCTACCAAATCATGCTATATCCATGTATGAATATACCACAATGAATCTTGTGTTTGCATATAATTATATTGCACTAATTAAAATAATAATAATAATAATAATAGAAGGGAAATCAGTTGAATAGAGCAAGCAAATTAGAAGAAAGAGGGGGTAAGAGAAATAGAGAATCACTGGGAAATGGGATTGATCAAATTACATTAAGTGCGTGTGTGAGTACAGCATAAATTCCACTATTTTGCATAATAAAAGAAAAACACATGAACAATATTTCTTAGAAAATTGAGACTCACTAAAAATGTCAATACCTTTACTTCTGCCAGTTTCCTTTACTTACCCATTCTATATTATGTCGTCATGAAATTGAGATCTAACTACTGTGTTACAGGAAGTTCTCCTGTATCTTCCTAAGGTTTAAAAACCACTCCTGTTTATTTTGATAGAAACCTAAATCCATTTTTTTTTTACTGATTTGTTTTGTGAATTTGTACTCTACATTTTCAATTTGGACTTAACTTACTGACTTCAAGATCACTGAGCTACCCCAGCCAGAACAAAGACTGTTCACACTGTTCTGACTCTTGGCCTTTTCTTCTCACCATGGACTGCACTGTGTATTCTTTGCACATGTGGAATTTTCTAAACCTGAACAGAAAGTAACTCACAAGAAGATCCATTAAATCCTCTAGTATCTGCATAGTGATTGTCATTACTCTCCTTGGCCTGCCTTCCCACACACAAACTTTCATCAACTCCCCAATCTCTTTTGCCTGATATTCCTGACTTCCCACTCTCTTATCCCCTTGTCTACTTCTACCAGTCCCTAGCTAACCCTAAGGTCCAGTCACATGGGAACTGATGGCCCTTCGGTGTGCCTCTGCTTGTGCTATCCTTCTACCTAACAGACCAACCCACTCCTTTGTCAAAATCAAATTCCTTCTTCAGGATTCAACTCCAAAGTCCCTGCCTCCATGGAGACTGTGATCTCTCAACAGGAAGGAATATGTCCATCCTCTGTGTTCCTGCCATACTTTCCTGACCTTCTCTCACAGAATGCCTTATTTTCTGTCTTGAGTCACAGCTATGTATATGGTCTTTTCTCTCCTATATAGTGACATGCATATTAGGCTCATCTTTGTATCCTTCAAGCACCTTGTAGTATTTAGACCTCAATCCATGCTTTAGGAAAGATTGTGAACTGAATAGCTGTATTGTAGTGGCACTCCCTTCTCCACAGAAAAATCTTAACTAAGTTTCTCCAGAAATCTTCACCATAATTGATTTTAGGACTATCAGCTAAAGAGTCTCTACAAAAGAGTTCAATGTAGTAAATTTTCTATTTTCCTGTTGTTCTATTTTACTTGGCCCTGGCCTGGAAAAAATCAGCACTCCAGGTGCTAAATGCCTGCTTACTAGTTTGTCACAAGTATTTATCCAGTATAGTAGTTTGAGAAGTGTGTTTGCAAATGCAAAGTGTAATTAAAAAAAAAAAAGACAGATCCTTTAACAAGGCCTCTAGCCTTGAGCTGGGGCTTCACAGAGATGTCTACATTTCTAAGACAAGAAAAGTTACCAATTAGGCTCCATGGTAACAGCTGACAAGGGGAGGGAAGAAAGGGGAGAAGAAGCTCTCCCCTTCTCAGACACTGTCCTTGATGGGTTAACTTGCTCAGAATAGTGAAAGAAAAAGCTGCTTTTATGTGAACCTCTGCAGACTGTGAACTTCTGAGTCCCTCCCCTTATACACTGGGAATAAAGTTCTGAAACTACCTGAACTCGGAATTCAGGGGGATTGATTGGTTACAGCAATAGCTTTGCCCTCCGAACCTGGCTATAGCTAAATAAACCTGCATCCTGTTCCTATTTGGTGTTTTGCCTCATCTGTCTCCTGCAACAGTATCTGTGGGTTTGCCCAAAGCCCTGACTTCTATGAAAGGCACAGCAAACCCCCAGTTTGTCTTTCTGTGATGGAAAGACCAGTAAAATGAGGAGGATAGACTACCCTTAGTCCCATCTGCAGAGGGACAACACAGGTAATGTTCTGAGTTATTTCCCTAGGGATCGTCCAGATTTATAAGGGTGTTTATGGATAAAGTGCTTGCTGCTAATGCTGAGTCTTTTCATGCTGAGGACTATTCCACCCACTCATGAAAATCAAATGCAAATCAGCTTTGGAACACTTGGTATTTCCTGGAAGACATGCAAGCTAAACAGAGACCTACTAAGAATAATACTTTCTGTGAGAAAGTAATAATAACTATCAAAATTTATGGAGCCAAAGTCTGTAGTTAGTGCTTTAGGCTAGTCATAATCCCTAAGAGAGGTGCTGAATGAACTGTTGTATAAAAGGGGTTTTGGTTGCTTTCATGGAGTGCTAACTTACCAGGGATATGTCAGTCTATACAGAACAGGGAAGATTCTACCACCTTAGAACTACCCTCAGCATAGCCCTGAGCAAGCTGTAGCTGTGCACTCAGTAAACACTGCTTAATTGATAGGGAATTAAAAGCCACTCCTGAACAAAGGTTTACAGATGGAGCCAGGTATATAAAGGCATCAGACTTTCTACCTGTTCACAGTGGAAGACATCTTGGGATATCAGGACTTCTGGGACAACCACTCAGTACATATGCACTTTACCAGCTAGTCTTAGGGCCAAGACCATTATCAAAGCTTTTCACCACTGACATTTTCTTGCTATTAGCTCTAGTTGGATATACCCATCCTTTAAGGGAGCACTGTATTCAAGTAAATGACAATTTGAGATAAAATGTGATTCCCATTTTTAAAAAGTAAGGAGCAATCCTGTACTCACCCCTAAATTAATAATACCCCTACCTAGATGAGGGGCACATTGCAAAGGCTACAAAAGGAGGGTATTTGAGATATACAATGGTTAAGGCTTGATAAATTTTTAAGAACTCCAAAATATTCCACATCAAAATGTAATCCAGACATTTCCCATCACTCTCTACCTGGCAGATTTATGATAATGGAGCTATAATGCTCTAACAAGGCAGCATTCAGAATTCAGAGCAAATGACTCCTCCGCTGAAAAGCAAGAGGACTGGTTCTTTATCCTCTCTGTCTATATAAAGTATCCAGATGAGAGCTTTTTTTTTTTTTTCCTTTCACAACAGAAATTATTCCAAAGGAAAACTGATCCTAGTCAAAGCTGTTTCTTAGGCTTAAAAGCTTAACAGTCAGGTTTCTAACAGTCTTTCCCACTCTGAGGTCTGCTCTGAGGACCCTGTGGTCCCAGATACCTGATTTTCTTCTCTTTAAAAAACAAAGCAAGACCACCCTACCAGGGGCAGTCAGGTGGGCGTGGCTAGTTCCGACCAATGATAAGCAGCGAGAGGAAGGGGTGTGTGCCACCTTGGAGAACACCAACCCGGGAGGCTGAGGGTGGAGACATGCTCTGTCTCTATTCCTCACTGATTATTTTCCTTTCATTTAAAATGTTTGTTGTGTAGAGGATTTTTCCAACCCCTGGTGTCTAGGGATAGCTGAGGGATAGGCAGAATTGTTCCTTTTGCCCTGGCATTTATTACAATTCCAGTGCAGGCTGAAGAAATAAAGAACTTGCCAAAAACTATGTGACAAGACACAATCATAAAAGAGTGTTGCTGCCGGGCAGTGAGGAATAGACACCAAATATAAACATGTTAGGATTTGTGTGAAAATACTTCCATTTACTCTCCCAGGACTCCCTCTACTCTCTTCATCATCCTTCTCTGTGCTCTGGGAAAATGGCCTTTGAAGAAGCCTCTGGTTATTGATTGTGTTCAGTCAACAAAGACCAATGGTAAGAATGCAAAGGAGCAGGCAGAGGCCACAGCCAGAGGAAAGTGGGATCCCACCTCATAGTAGAAAGTCCATAGCCAACCCCCTTCTTACACCCCCTGGAAGCAAACCCAGCATGGTACTAGATTCTGCTTCTTTAGGTCCCTCTGGAGTGAACGGACATTACAGACTTACTCTTGGTGTGGGGCGCCTGTCTTGGTCAGCAAGGTCAGCACAAAAAACATGAAAATCACGAAGACTGCAAGGCCAACCCAAAATCCAATCACGATGGAATCTGCAAGATGGTTAATACTGGGATTAGTATTTCACAGGAGCTTAAAACAGAACATTCAAGGAATACAAGCTTTTCGGAGATGCCTTAGTCCATGATAGGAAGTCAACAATCTCATTGCAGAACATGAAAGAGAAGGAAGAAGCTGTGGCCTTCAGGTTTCCATCTCGGATAATGTGACAATGCTTAGGCTTATAGAAGCTCAGTTCCCACATCTCAGTGAAGAACCCAGGACAAAAGAAAGGTCACCTAGATTCTACTTTACTGTATTGAATTAGAAAATACATGAGTTTGCAGAGATTGTTATAGAGTTTAAAATGAATGGATTCCAACCCACCCAATTGTGTTTTCACTTATGTTCATGCTGGAACAATTCAGGTCCCTGTCATTTCTTGCAGAGAATGACTCTCAGTCTCTTGAGTGTTATCCCTGCTTTCTGTCTTCTTGAGTGTTTCATCAAAGCCTCTGATAAACCAGCTCTCTTAGGAAGGACCATCAACAAAAGTAGACCCGACTCACTTTTCCAGATTGAAAGAGTTTCTGCATATAGAGCACTTCATATAGTGTCTGGCATCAGACAAATTATCTATGTTGCAGGTGCAGGCTGTCATTAGAATTATCATCCTTTTCTCCCAGTTTACCTCACTTTAATTCCTATTTGTTTCCAATCAGACTAAGGGACATTGTGCCACTGTATTTACCTTAGCTCTTGGCCACAGCTCCTCACACCCACACCTGTAGAGTTTCTTACCACTACCTGTGAGCAACTTTGCCAACCTGGAGCTGATGACAGTCTATCCTTTAAAGACTACCCTGATGCCATCCCCTTCACAAACCCTCACTCACTTCCCTACCTGATGGCTTTCTGCCTCCTCTGAAGCCCATGACATTTCCTTCTTTGTTCTCTAAACAGGCCTCTCCTTGGTTCTATCTTGAATCATAGTCATGAGACTATGAGAGACAATCCCTGATTCAGAATTTTCAATTTTATGATGATGTGAAAGCAATATGCATTCAGTACTAACCCCAATGGAATTTTGATCTTTTCCTAGGCTGGTGATATGCTATATGACACTCTCTCACTTACAATGTTTTCAATTTATGGTGGGTTAATCAGGATGAAACCCCATTGTAAGTCAAAGAATGTCTGTATATATTTTGGGGACACAGTGATTAGACAAGATTGTCTACAGAGCCTGGCACATATATACTAGGGTCTCAAATCTGAAAAGCAACAAAGTTGAGTCATTCTGTGTCCTCCCTCCCTTCCTTCCCTCATCCCTCCCTCCCTCCCTCCCTTCCTTCCTTCCTTCCTTACCGGGGACTGAACCCAGGGGTGCTTAACCACTGAGCCATATCCCCAGCCCTTTTTATTTTTTATTTATTTTTATTTTTTATTTATTTTTTTAAAGAGAGAGAGAGGGAATTTTAATATTTATTTTTTAGTTTTCGGCAGACCCAACATCTTTATTTGTATGTGGTGCTGAGGATCGAACCCAGGCCACACGCATGCCAGGCAAGCGCGCTACCACTTGAGCCACATCCCCAACCCCTTATTTTTTATTTTGAAATGGGGGTCTCCTTAAGTTGCTTAGGGCCTCACTAAGTTGCTGAGGCTGGCTTTGAACGCGTGATACTCTTGCCTCAACTTCCCAAGTAGCTGGGATTGTAAGCATGCACCACCATGTCCAGTTCATTCTGAATTTTCTGAACTATACTAAGAAGATTACTTTTGTGGGAATACAGTAAGAATAATTAGCATTTAAAAATGATTAGAGCTTTTATGCTAAATGATAAAATACAAATGAATTATTCTAATTAAATTATTCATATATAGCATTTCTTCTAAAGTTAAAAAAACAGCTCAATTTACTCTGCATAATTCATACTTTCCTACTACATGTCTACTGCCTAGAGGTTAACAATGTTTATTCAGCACTCTGGATGCAAACTAATGTATTATTCCTAGAGTCTTAAATGTAAGTACCATACAAATAATAATGTCTTTATACTTTGCCTTTTAATATAGTGGAAATGAGGTGTAGAACAAGACATCAGGACAAGGACCAAAAAAACACATGTACTGCATGTACTCAAGGGCAGTACATGGAACAATAAAATCTCAGTTTTCTGGGCCTGGACTATGTAGAAGCATTGTGCAGATAACATTTCTATACAGTGTACTTTATCAACTGCTGTGAAGAAAAAAGAAAATTATAAAATTATATAATTCTAAAATGTTATATTGAAGTTCTCAACTTATAATTTAGTCTTGTTTGGGTGGTTGATATTTTTCAAATCTGTCACTGAGAAGATATACCTATTAGTGCCCCATTTCACACTGTGAATAGTACACTAATCCCCAGCAGGTCTCTACCTCCCTAGTCAAGCAGGAAGCAGAGGTGGAGGATCAGGTGCATTTAACATGGTCCAGTTTCTACCCCTTCTCTCTGTGCCACAAGGAACCAATCAAAAAAAGCAGCACTGCCAGCGCCTCGGGAGGCTGAGTCAGGAGAATCACAAGTTCAAAGTCAGCCTCAGCAAAAGCGAAGCACTAAGAAACTCAGTGAGACCCCATCTCTAAATAAAATATAAAAAAATAGAGTTGGGAATGTGGCTCAGTGGTTGAGTGCCCCTGAGTTCAATTCCTGATACTCTCCGCATCCCACGAAGGAAAAAGCAGCACTAACATGGGGCAAGGATGGCTCACAGCTCTCAGAGAAGTTAGGCGATGCAGTTACAGGTTACAGAGTGGGGAAAAGTAGGGGCATGGTTAAATTTTGGGAATTCCTGAAATGCAATAGCATTTGCAAATATTTTCATAATAATGTGGTATCCATGTTTCCCTAGATAGATAGAATTCTTTAAGTAGCTCTGCTTATTCACATTCCACATCATACAAAATTCTGTTTCTTCAAATTATTTCCACTAATTTCCCCTCAACCTCATTCTCTGCCACATGATCAGGTCCAGGGCACTATCTCACCCTGAGCTCCTTAGGATCTCCAGGGAACACTAGAGATCCTCATCTCATCCCAGGAACATTCAAATTATCTCGCTCTATTTCAATGGCAAGTTTCAGGCAGAGGTGCTCGTTTTCCACAAAGCATGCTGCTGTTAAGAAGTCAGAACAGAGGTATACCCGCAGTGAGGTTCCAATGAGGCCAGGTGGCTAAGGAAGTCAAAAGAAGTGTTCATTCTAAGGGGTCCTACCAAAGCCAAGTCGCCACACATTACGTTGTCTACGCACAACTGGGAGACTAATTACAGTAAGGGGGCAGAACAAACTGCCCAGGGAAATTCCAAATGGAATGTGTCACAATAAAATAATTCCCCTTAATCACAATGAATCCCACTTGTACATATAATTATAATACATTTAACATCATCATCATCATCATCATAGAAGGAAGATCAGTAAAGTAGAGCAGCAGATGAGGGGGAAGAAAGAGAGGAGGTAAAGGGAAAGAGAATGAGTGATCAAATTATGTGCATGTACAAATATGGCATAATGAATCCGACTATTATGCATAATTATAATATACTAATTAAAAATTAAAAATAAATAAAATATAATACCTCCTCTCAACCTCAACTTTAACAAATGGAATGAAACAAGAGAGCTGAAAGCTGATATGATTTTTTTCTCCCCCCTAGGGTAAGACTACAGTAATCATCCTATTTCACTGTGCCCTTTTTCCCACCCCCTAGGACTAAATTATGATCTTTTTATTTCATGGTTGTATAAAAAGTGTTAATATACTTTATCTACAAGGGGTTCAGAACATCAAAGCTAGCACTGTCCTCACACAATTCTGGTTCCTAAAGAGTTAGGGTCAGTTTTGTGATGAATTCAGGCAAGGAACCAACAGAGACATGCTCACATTTGTCCCAATGACACATTTTATCCTACAAATAAAATTTGCAAGTGAGGCTCTGCATCTCACCCTGAAGACCTGACTTCCTGCTGACTCATTTATGCATGTATCTGGCATTATCTGCAAGTTGGAATATGGAAAAAAGTATAGAATTTCCAATGGTTTCAATTTTTTAGCAGAGTAGATTCACTAAAACGTAGGTTTCTACTCATTGGTTCATAGGCTTTGCTTCTGTCTCTCTAAGAATACACTGTCTTTCCCAGTCAAACCTTTCATTAGTGATCGGTTTTTCTCCCTCTCTTTGTAGCAAGCTCATGAGAGATTTGTCTGGGTGTACTATTTTTGTAATGCTTCTCATTCTTCTATTCTCATTTTTCTTTTGAACTGATTCTATCAGACTTTCATCCCTACCATTCCACTAAAACTATTTTTAAAATCATTGCCAGTAGCTTGTACATTGTAAATCCAGTGGCTGTGCCTCAGTCCTCCACCAGCTCGACCTAATGGTAGCATTTGACAGAGACCATTATCTCAGCCCTGAAAAACCCTTTCTTCAGTTGGCTTCCAGAAAACCACAATTGCACAGTTTTCTTACTCTTTCTATACATTCTTCTCAGGTTCCTTTGCTCCTTTTTTCTCAATTTTTCAATTTCTAAATATTAGTGTACCTTGGAGCACAGCTCTTGAACCTCATCAGTTTTCTTTTTTTTTTTTTTTGGTACCAAAGATTGAACTCAAGGGCCCTTAACCACTGAGCCACATCCCCAACCTTTTTTATATTTTATTTAGAGACAGGGTTTCATTGAGTTGCTTAGGGCCTTGCTAAATTCCTGAAGCTGGCTTTGAACTCACAATCCTCTTGCCTCAGCCTCCCACCTGTGATGACAGGCATGCACCACCATGCCAAGCCCTCATCAGTTTTCGATCTACTTAACAACCCCCTCACCCAGTTTCTTGGCTTTGAATATCATTTTCATGCTGATGATTCCCAAATTTTCACCTTTACCTCACATTTTTCCCTGATGTCTTAGAAGTGTCTTAATTTAACAGGTCCACACCTCAAATCCTGAAGTTGCTCTCTGAAACCTGCATCTGCCTTACTGTCCCCTGTCTCAGTTAATGGCAATTCCAACCTGCCAGTTCCTCTGATACAGATCTTTACAGCATCCTTGACTCTTTCTCTTACACTCTTTGGCAATCCACTGACAAATCCTATCAGATCTATCTTTTAAAAACATCCAGAATTTGTGCATTTCTCACCAATCTACTGCCTGTACTCTGGTCAAGTTACCATTGCCAGCTGTCTGGACTATGGCAATAGCTCCTGTCTGTTCTCTGCTTCTAATCTCGTCCCTTTCATTCCCCAGTTGCAGAGTTAGCCTATTGAAACCTACGCCAGATGCCATTCCTCTGCTTCAGATCCTTAAATGACTTCTCATAGTAAAAGCCAAAGTTCTTAGCATGACCACTAAGGTCCATGCCCTGGTCCCCCTCATCTCCTGATGTTCGCCATAGCATCCTGCTGGCCTCCTTGTTGTTTCTTACATATTCCAGTTCATTCTGACTATGGAGACTTTTTTTTGGAAGGTTCTTCCTTTGGATGTTTCATAGTTCAGTCTTGCATTTCCTTCAGGTCTTTTCTAAATTCTCTCCCTCTCACTAGGACCTTCCATGGCCACACTATCTTATATCTACCTCCACACTTCACTTCACTTTCTCCATTCTATTTGCCCTCTTTTGTCACCATCCAATATAGTTTGTTTATTTAGGTTATCTATTGTATGTCTCTCTCACTAGACTGGGAGCTCTGTAAGAGGAGGTATTTTTGTCCCTTTTCAGTTCTGTCTTGTATCCCCAGAGCTTAAAATGGAGCTACATATAAAAGATGCTCAGTACGTGCTGAAGGGATTAAAGAACAGATTTCCACTTTGTTGATACACCAAATGTGTGTCAGATACATGCCTACCTCCAATGCATCATAAGGTTTAACATCAAATTTAAAACTCAGGGCAGTTGGGCTAGGGGTGTAGCTCAGAGGTAGAGCACTTGCCTACCATGTACAAGGCCTGGTGTTCCATCCCCAGCACTGCAAAACAAACAGAACAAACAACAAAAACAACAACAAAAAACCTGAAGGCAAAAGGAAATTTCATAATGACCTTTAGAGATTGTTTCTCAGAAGAAACTTCCTTTGAAAGTAGAAATCTTAATTTTAGTAGGCAGAGGAACTTAGTCTAACTAAAGATGTGCCTATTTACAGAGCACAATATAGGTAGAGGAAATGAAGATAACTGGTATGGTCATTCTTAGCCTTAAAAAGTGCTTCCCCTTGAAATGTTCCCGTTCTACTCTTTTCACCTAACTAGTTTTATATTTTGTTCAACAAAACAATGTGTCATGCTTGAAGGTGAGAATCATAGCTTTTTAAAGGGTAAGCAACGATAGCCATATGAACATTATAATAGTTGACTTAATCTTCTCCAGGTCCTATATATCTGGGGGGAGGGTTTATTTTCCATTGTTTTCTCTGTCTCATGCATTCAGGTTTCTGTTGTTAGTAGCCTTTACTTGAATCAGATCTGTTATATCAGAAGAGTAAGCACTTATTTGGGCATTCTTGTATTTTCATGATGTGAATGTTGAGACAGAAACAATCCTCATTAATGGTATAGTTAGTAAAGTAAGCATGTAATGTGTCACAGCTCTGCCTATGTTTTATAGAATGTTTTTCAAGCTATAAACATTTCTAGATGAAGTGATTATTCTCAAAAAAGATTTTCAGTTGTCTCTGGAAATGTGCCAACCAAAATTATAGCAGCAGGCCTGCCATCTGTGCCCCTTGGACTAAGAGAAAGAGGAGCAAACACAAAAATAAAGTTCAGGTAGAAGTATACATTACAGGGAACTATGTAGAAGTTTTCCCAGTCATTTATATTTCCCCTATAATTCCTAAAAAGTAAGTGTCCTTTATGTAAAGGTTATCCCAGAAAAACAACAGATTAAAGAATCTACATGACTCTTAGAGGGTGATTTCACACCAAGACCATAAGAGTAATTATCAGATAATTAATGTCAGCATAATGTCAGTCATTCTCCCCCATAAATACGGGCAAATGCCAATAAAGAAATGAGGAAATATATTGAATTATTACTAGGGGAAAATGGATATAAAATTTAGTTAATGATTTTTGCTTAAGGAAGAAAGATTAAAAGTCCTTCTTGCATTAAATGGGAATAGCAAATGGGTGTGAGGATCACAAATGCCAAAACTGGTGAGAGGGGGAAGTGGCCAAGAAATAAGTGAGCAACGAAGGCATTTCCTTTGCTACATTTGCATCTCTAATTCTGATCTCTCTTGTATCTCCTAGTGTCTCACATCAGTCTGGACCAGCTAAGAACCTAAAATATTTGCAGTGCTGTGCATATTCAATTTGAAACAACTCAGTCTCCCAGGGATATTGATGAAACTTCCAAACAGGACCTGGAAGTGGGCAGCAGTTCCTGCCTATTATATCAACTCTACTTAGCAAAACAGGATGTTTCATGCTGGCTACTCAGCACTGGTTATGAAGGGAGATGAATAGTAGCTTTTCACAGAATTACCTTTCCTTGTTTTGAGCTGGATCATTAATTGTAGCAATAACATGAAACACAACTCATGCCTGTAGCACCAAGTTGGAAATGATGGCAGGCTATTCTTGCCTGTCATTGTGAACACATATAGACTCTTCTCCACAGATCCAGAACACCAACTGGGTTTAAAGGATGCCACTGACTATTTGTTACAAAAGAAAATTCTTCAAATAATAGTTCCAGATTCTATTTTTGTACACATTTTTTGTTAGTTCAAACATTCATAGTTTGGGGGAGTTGGCATAGAAAATTCCAAAACAAGCAAGCAAAAAACCTCAGTCTGAGATTGACACTGACTCACATTCTCCAACTAAGGGAATATTATCTCCAACTAAGTCCTTCATGAATCAGAATCTCCATGGCCCCCATATCATACCATCTCTGAGCAATTCCCCATGTATGAAAAGGGCATTTTGTGGGGTTTTAGAGGTAGAAGACAGAGTTCCACAAGACAAGAATGTTCAGGAAAGGTAGTCACTGGGGATTTCACAGGTTAAGAAAAATATATATTATGCATACAAGGGGAATTGTATAAGACTTACATTTGTGAGCCTTCAGTCCTTCAAAGGAAACCGGTCCAATCTCATAATACTCATACTCCCAGGTGTAATCAGAATTAGATGCGGATTGCTGGGAGGTTCTGTTAGAAATTAACCTCTGGACAGACATCTCCACACTGCAAAAATGGAGAAAGGCAAGTGCAGAACTCGTTAATTCACTCATGACTGCACAGTTATCCTAATTATTCTTGATCACACCAGGAATTCAAGGGTAAAAAGCTAAAAGAATTCCTATCCACTTGGTCAGGGAAAGGTTTTCACAGGCTGCCCACACCTCATACCATGAGCACATATTTCCTCTTAACTCTTCAATATTCTAGAATATACTTGAAATCAGACAGTAAATCTTTTTTTGATAAACTTGACTGGCATGTAACTAATGTTCAATAACTGTGTGTAGAAATAAGGGGAAGGAGGGAGAGTGTATATAAAAATCTGAGCTCACAATTTAGACCCCCCCCCCAAGGCCTGTGTGAGTATGTGAAGAGTCTACAGAGGACAAGCAAAATCAGTGTTGTAAATAAAATATCTCAGTGTGTATGTACTGAGCGCCTACTCTGCAACAACAAAGATGCACAGCCTAATGAAATGGAATGGACAAGTAAAGCAAAGAGAAATGGAAAACAAAATTTGCACAATAGGAAAAGATCCCTATTGGAGAGCTCCTTCTTGTTCATTGTTCACTCCCAGTATCTTCATTGTTAACTGTGATTATTTGGGGCAAGAAAATTCTGACTTCTTTGAGGCATGTTGAACGGTGTGCCCAAGACTCCCAAGGTGACAAATCAATACTACTTGTATCCCAATACTGTATTTAAATAGCTACCATGTGCAAGAATACACCTTGTCGGGGGAAGGTAAAGATGCCTGAGACAGACAACAGGACACACAGACCTTCATTTACAATGGGGAAATGGACAAATGGACAAATAACTGTAATGTAAGTAAACATCTGAATGAAATAACAGCCCAAACCAAGATTCACTAAACCACCACTGTGCCCCACACTGTAAGAGCTCACCATGGGTCAGAGTTATCCACCAAATCTTCTTTGGGTCCAACCCCCAAGATAGTTAAGGCAAAATCATCACCACCCTTTTGCCCCAAGGTATGAGTCTCTCCTTTATCTCTTCTTCTTCAACCCCAGACCTGGGACCCACAGAAAAAGATTCTAACTACTCAACATCATATTGTTCAAAGGATGGGGAGCCCTGGTCCTAAGATACATGACCGTCAGGAATTGGAGCATGACTCTGAGGCCTCAGCCAAACAAATCTCTCCTCTGAAGGTAGAAAATAATGTGCTAACTCTCATTTGGGAAAGAAAGTTATACAAATTGCAAGGAAAGCTGACCTTTACTTTAGGTAAGCAATCAGTTGCCTTTTCAATATGAGCAAAAAAAATATGGTTTCATCTTTGGCCTTTTTAAATATTTGAACAAGAGGTTATTTCCCTCGATGATGAAATAAATTTCTTCAGGAAATGAAAATTAATAACTCAAACCTTAGAAGCACTGTCCTCATTTAAGGGCACTTTCTCTAGCAGAGAACTGTGGGGGAGAAGAAGGAGTAGCTCTTTAACTATATAGTTCAGAGATAAATGATGAAGTAAGATAAACACTGTCTGCAAAGGAAAGCATTAACAATCCCATGCTATATAGGAAAAGGCACAGAATTTAAAGCCGGAAGACCAGGGTCTTCATATTTACTCTGCTTCCATTTGCTACATCATTGGACAAATCTCACTTAGCCACATTTTCCTCACCTGTTGTCAGGAAGTGCTATAGTCACAGCCACTAATAGAGACCATCATAGCCCACTAGGCCCATTCCTCAGCCTCTGGGAGTTCATGTTAGTATTTCCAAAAAGAGGACTAAGTAGTTTTTCTGCTTCCACTCTTACCAATCCCTAGAATCCATTCTCCACTCATCAGCAAGTGACATGATATTTTAAAAATATAAATTGTCATTGTTGATCTTTTATTTGCCACTTTTAATGGTTTCCCATAGCCCTCTGGACAAAGTCCAAAATCCTTCAAATGTCCTATATGGTCATAACATGGGTCCTGCAGTCAGTCTCCTCTTACCTTGAGCCATTCTACTTCATATCTTATCAAATTATAATGTTTTATTACAGTTTCTCAAATACTTCAAGTTTTCTGGCACCTGTACATAGGCTATTCCTGTAATGAGAATGTAGAGGCTATCTTTGCTAAAAATTCTATTTCACTTGGGCATGAAAATGTAAAAAAAAACTTGATATCTTTACCTCCATCTTGCATCTGTCTCATTGCTTAATCAGTCACCTTGGATTCCAGGAATAATAGGTCTGATGATAAACATCTTGTGATAAGTCAAAACTACCACCCAGGAAACAGCAACTTTCTGATCACAGATAAGACCCTGCCTTACCAACCCTGAGATAATGATTGGCCTGACCACAGTCAGACCAAGACTGCTTGACTGTGCACACTTCTAGTGCCCCCCCCACCTCCACCATTCATATATATATATATAAAATCTGGGAGTTCATGTTAGTATTTCCAAAAAGAGGACTAAAAACTCTCATCTCCTTGTCTTCCCAATATATCTTTTTTCCTGATTTTCACCATTACTTTTTCCATTGTTTATTTTTTTGTTTGTTTGTTTTATTTTGTTTTGTTTTGTTTGGGTAAGTGGCCAGAGCTGATTTGTTGGGACCCCAGAATAGGACCTCTGGCCTAGGACTCTGGTAACATTCCCTCTGGCCTGAGTGTTCTTCCTATCACCCTAACTGTAATTCCTTCCTCCTTCCTGCACACTCTCCTCATTTAGATCAGGGGCTGGAAAAGCTGGCCCACTATTTGTGATCTTGTACAACCTACAAGGGAAGAATGTTTTTATTTCTAAATGACTGAAAAAATCAGAAGGATAATATCTGTTACACAGAAAATTGTGTGAAATTTAAATATCAGTGTCCATAAATAAAGGTTTATTATAACATAGCCACCCATTTGTTTTTGTATGTTCTATGGCCTATTCAGCATTACAACAGCAGAGAAGAGTAGCTGTAACCAAGATGGTATATACCCAAAAGCCTAAAATATTTACCTTCTGGTTTTCATAGAATGACATTGCCAACTTCTGCTATAGAGCCATAAAAATAAGTACCTTTGCTTGCTTTTTGACTAGGAAAATAAAGATGGTAATAATACTTACTTCATGGGATTACTGAAAAGATTAAGTGCAATGTTGCATGAAAAGCAAATAGCCAAGACTCAGGTTAAGATTAATAGAATATAGACAGCACTATTATTATTAGCCAAGAAATGCTGGTCTGAGACAGAAAAACCTAGGTTTGTTCTTCAGACACCACCAAGTACCCAGACAGCCAATTCCCATCAAATGTACCATGTGGTTAATTCATCTATGTATTCTATGCAAATGAATAAAATTATAGTAAAAATAATAAATGTGTCCAGATTGTTTGAAAGCTATAGTGACTAATAATGACATTTGGGATTCATGCAGTTCCACCAAATGAGAAATATGGTAATAATATAATAATATTCTCTCTCTCTCTCTCTCTCTCTCTCTCTCTCTCTCTCTCTCTCTTCCTCCCTCCCTCCTTCCCTCCCTCCCTCCCTCTCTTTTGGGAAGGAAAATAAGATTAAGTTTCATTAGATCATACCATTTTTACTGGAAATCAACATAACAGCTAATGAAATAAGCAGAGCAGAGGGAGACACTAAGCTTTGTCTAAAAGAAAAAATGGAAAAAGCATACAAAACAAAGAAAATAAAGATGGAAAAGGTTGTCAGTCCTCCATCTAAGCAGCACACCACAAACACCAGAGCTGATCCATGCATCAGGACACAGTGGTGACACCCCCCTTCTGTGACTGCCAGGCATGTGGGTCCAGCAGGTCATTCTACTGTCCTCTCAGGTCCGAAAGCATCAGTAACACCATCCTCACAGGGCTGGTCAGGGATTAGTTAAAAAAAAAAAAAATGTCTGTGTCTGAGAGAAAGCTGTCAGAGAATATCAACTGCCTTCCTACCACAGAAACAATAGTTTTTCATACCTTCTTTTTCTTTTCTGTGCACTCTTTCCTTTCATTTAAATAAACCATAGGAATAGATTAGCAAAGGGTGTTACTAATGGGTAAGAAAATTCAGTGCCAAAGTCCTGAAAGTAGAAAGGTCATGGGAAGACAAGTTGAAAGCCCTAATGAATACCTGGACAGAATGAGTGGAAACCAGAGCCAGCCCAGAGGTCCTCCAGGGATGCAGAGTGACATGCAACGTCACCTCTCCCTAACCAGCCACCATTTTGGTAGGCTTCAGATGAAATAAGGGGCTTTTGCTTTCCCTGGCTATTTCCTCTCAGTTTTTGAATCTGAAAGATATGTTCTGAAGACAGCCTCTGGCCTCTCCTTTAAAACAGTCATCTAGTGCCCCTGAAAAAGTCCAGGACGCGATATTTTTTTTTTTCATCCAAGTCTCAGGTTAATCAGCTTAGGCCATCAGAGGCACAAGGACAAACAGTGAACAGAAGACTGTGGTAAGGCAGTATTTTGTATCATGACCATTACTGATAGCAAGGGGCTGCCTTTCTGAGCTTCACTGAAACATAAGCTGGATCTATTTGTTATTTGGAAATTGCCCCCATGTCTGGGTAGCAACTCCCAGAACCCCACATCCGTACTACAGCAAAGTGTGTCTGGCTCACTTGCAGTGAGGGCGGTCTGACACCCAGATTCACCCTCCAGGGTGCTAAGAGCTGGCAGCTGCTCTCCCAAACACAACAAACGAAGGCAGCAGGGCTCTGTGAGCAGCTGCCCTCTGTGCCCTGCTGCAGTGCATTCACCCCTGATGAGATTTTCTTCATGTCAGATTTCTTCACAACATTACAGTCATTAAGAATAACTTCTTCGACAGGAAACATATCCAAAACAAGCTTCTTGGAAAAAAGAAAAAAAACCACACACATACACAAAAACATCTTGGAGTAGCAGAGAAACAAGTTGCCCTTTTGAGCAGCTGAAAACTCTGTTGCCATCAAAAGCATGATGAACATTATGGTTGCATCTTAAAGCCACGCCTGAAAAGAAAGTTTACCTTTTCTAGTTGTTTACAGGGTAGTTTGAACCAAGGTAACCCATGGAGGAGCAGGGCTGGGAGATCTCAATCTCAACCCAAGCAGAAAAATCATGTTTAGCAGGCGCCAGACGTCTTTCACCAAACCATCACCCCTTCTCCTACCCACATCCCAACACTCTCATTCCTTCTGATTATTCAACCTTTCCTCTTGTTTGTTAGCTTTTTTTTTTTTTTTTTTGGCACTGTGACCAAAAGATGTCACAAAAACAATGTAGCAGAGGAAAGGTTTATTTGGGCTCCTGGTTTCAGAGATTCAGTTCAGATAGACTGAGTCCACAGCTCTGGGCCCAAGGGGGAGCCAGAACATCATGATGGAAGGGCAGAGCAGAAGAAGCAGCTCAGGACCTGGCAATGGGAGCAGAGTGAGTTCCACTCACCAGGGACAAAATATAACCCCCAAAGTGATACCCCAGTGATCTAGCTCCTCCAGCCATACCTGCCTACAGTTACCACCCAGTTAATCCATATTGGTGGATTAATCCACAGCTCCCTGAATTTGGGAAGAAGTATTCAGACGTGTAACTTCCCATGGAATGAACAAAGGCTCTTAATCAATGTCCACCATGGATTATGATGATACACACACCAAGGGGGCTGTTTCTTTGGAGTTGAACAAAGTTTACTTTCATGTTAAAGGGTAGTTGTTCAAGAGCTTGCCAACTCAGGCACAGGACCAGCACACCAAGAAGCTCTCAGAAATGAGTGCACTCACTTGCATGCATATAAACACACACACACACACACACACACACACACACCATACCTTATGGTGCAGCTAGAAAGGCACTCAAGAAGCTGTTGGTCAATGCCAGAGATGCAAAATCCTATCTATAGTAACCAGCTTGTAAAGATAAGGGCATTCAGACTGGAAATCAAAATTCCCTATCGTGGGGCTGAGGGAATGACTCAATGATAAAGTGCTTGTCTAGCATGGGCAAGACCCTGGGTTCACCACCCCACCCCCCAAAAAATATCCCAATTGAATTGATTCAAACTTATTTCTTTTCAATTCCCAATCTCCAGAAGTAGGTATGCTACCCAAGAATACCAATTTCATTTCTGGCCTGGGCCATTAAGTTCTCTGTCACTAGTTATCTGTCTTCATTTATTTCTGCCTCTCATTCCCAGGTACAGCTAGCCATCTGCAGCACAACACAGAAAAGCTACCTTCTGACTTATCACTTGTTCTCTCTTTTAGCAAAGACACCTGAGAAACCAAAGACAAAGTCCAGACAGCACTGGGATAGCTGAGCAGCCCAAGGTCAGAACTGCAGAAATCCAGCTTCCGAAACTTAATTTCCTCCTTTCACAGAGGTGTGATCAGACACCCAAGATACTGTGATCAGAACTGCCAGTGCCCTCAGCTTACCCATGTCCAGGTGGGTAGGTACACACATAGAGAATCTGAGGCTGTAAGGTTATGAGTTGGCTCCCAGCTAGACCAGAACCAGCAACTCCATAAGGCAACACATGCCAGCCAAGACCCAGGAATCAGCCCCCGCAGCTCCTCCCAGGGCAGCACTGCCGCAGTCTGGCTGGGCACAATCAGGAGCCACTTGTCAAAAGAAACTAACTTTATTTTTAGAACCACACACGACAAACAAAATAGTCTCTCAGGAAAAACCCTCAGAGCCTCAACTGCCACCACCGGCTTTCCCCAAGCCTCTCTCTCCCACACAAGCTTCTCTCCACCTCCCACAATCCTCCTGCTCTTGAGGCCGATTGGCTGGGTCACGTGGGCGGAGCCAAAAAAGTCCCCCAATGAGCAGCTCCGTGGTCTGAAAGGGCAGGGAAACAGTCCAATGAGCATCACCGCAGAGGAGCCAATCAGCTAGATGTTGCTGGGGCTGCTGTGAGCCAATCGTCAGCTGGCAGCTGGAAGTTTGCTGGCAGCTGGAAGTTTGCTGGGGCCCCTTTGGCTGTGGCTCTCAACACAGCACCCCTCAATGCAGATGTGTTCCCCACTCCACTTCTCCTCTTTACAGTTCTCTGTGAACTACCACCTGCTACTAGCATTTGCCACTTTGATTCCCAAGTCTGCCAATTCCTTTTGTTAAAAGGAAAAACCTCAAAAAATTAAATTTAAGAGTTTGATAAGAAATCACTCAGCTGTCAGAAATAGAACAGGTCTACAACTTCACTAGCAAAGTGGTCAGGCTGCATCAATGGACAGAGGGAGAAGGTAGGTACAAGGACAGTGGAATCAGTTATAGCTTGGCATTTTGCCTTCTTTGTACCAGCTGGCTGACTATGTGCAACTGAAGCTCAGCTGCTGCGATTGACTAAGACTCAGCTATTTGTTATGACAGTATACTCCTGAATGAGGCTCTGCTAGTTTATGTACTGTTAGGTTGCAGTTCCTTCCATAAGGACTCTAGTGTGGAGGCATCCTCATGCCAAATTTAGTTTAACACTTTTCTGTGAATCCATCTAAGTCAGAAAATTCACAGAATGTGGATTTTTTTTTTCTTCTCCAGTTAGAGGTCATGCTTCCAGGACTTTTTAGAGTGACTGCAATCCTTTTATTTGAGCATGTTTCTTCTTTGAAGATGGACATTCTGGCCACTAAATTGAAGCCAGATATATCACACACACATGCACACCCTGGGCTTCCCTTTCTCAAATTTCTCGATACTGTCAAGTTCTATACCATTCTCTGATATTTAATAGAAAGTACTTGGTTGCCCAGAAGATTCCAAAAACATGATAACTGTCAGTTAACAGAGAAATTTAAGATATATCTTCCAGTTTATCCCCACTTCTCCAGAAAACAGCAGCAACTTATTTCTAGAGCAGGACATAGAACAAAACATATTCCCAAGCCTGAAGAATTCATCTTAAAATCATCATCAATGCCAATAAAACAGCTTCCAAAAGTAGAACAGGACTTAAATTTCACTCAGCAATTCAGCCCCACCTGAAACAGAGACCCACTAAATTATCAAGTGGGCATCCTTCCTCCACCAACCAGTGCCTCAGGTTAGACAAGTAGTTTGGACTTCATCAGCCCATTCCTACAGTTATGCCCTGTGTACAGTAGTAAATAGGCTAGAAAGTGATTTTTTTAGTTAGTGTCTCCTGGCAATAGTACTCCCCAGTTCACTCCAGAAAATGCTTATTACCTAAACTTAGGCCCTGGAACACCATGACTATCATTGAACTTTGGAGATATTTTGGATACTGGTAACAGATCTTTCTAATACACCACAGTAACGACTATGCTACAGCAGTGTTAACCAGTCCTCCGTTGGCCTTCTCTTCTTCTGGCCTCTTTTCCTGCATCACCGTCACGACAGAGGCTTCCTCTGCTTTGCTCACTGCTGAATTTTCAGCACTCCACATGTTAGATCCAAATGTTGTTCCTCCCCAAATTCATGTGTTGAATTGATAAAGTGATATTAAGAGAGGGGGGCTTCAGGAGGTCATAAGGGCTCACCCTTTGGAATATGCCCTTATAGAAGAAGCCCAAGTGGGCTCCTGTGGCCCCTTCCACCATGTAAAGACAGAGCAACAAGGCACCAACTATGAAGCAGTGACTGGGCCCTGATCAGACACCAAATCTGCCTTGATCTTGGACTTCTCAACTTCCAGAACAGTGAGAAATAAATTTCTATTGTTTATAAGTGACCTAGTCTAAAGTATTTTGTTTTAGTAGCATGAACAGACTAAGACGCTGCACAAGGCCTGGGTCATAGTGTGCATGCAGTGGAACATGTTTTTCATGATGCCAAGAAACCACGAAATTATCTTCTTCTCTCCTTTCTAACCCTGAACCTGAGAGCAGTGGTTTCCATTATAATACAGACATTGGTTAGATGAAGAATGCCATGCCACATGGGGATAGAACACAAGGAAAAAAAGCTGTTAAGCCTTCAACTGCAGAGGCTTTCTGGAGCAGAGAAGAGGCATGGTCCTGAGATGCACTGGAGGGTGTGGGCTCCCTACTCCTGGCAGGTGAGTAAGGACTGCACCTTGGTCCCCAGCTCTGCAGCTTCAGGCAGCTGGATTTTCAGTCTTGCAGGGGTGCAAAGGCCTTTATGGAGTGAGTCACACTGATCAAGCACAGGGAATGATTTATAACCAGAGCATTCATTTGTTGAATTATAATAAGGAATAAAATAGCCAAGGAGACCAAAGCACATGTTTTACACAGTCTGGGAACAAAATTTAAGATCAGAAGATTAGCTGGTGAATGTGGAATCAGGACAAGGGAGTTACATAATAAAATTAAACAGGACCCTATTCCTCGGCCCCACACATGGGCCATTATACTACCTGTCTTCCATCTTAACAATGATGTCCTCTCACTGCCTCCCCTGGGGAGGTTGGGATCCCTACCACAGAGCAATCAAAGCTTTAACTCCTGCCTCTTTCTGGTCTTTACTTTTCCTGAGCTGTACTTCCAAAAAATCCCAGACCTGTTGAGGGCCCTAGTGGAAACCCAGGCCAACCTCTTTATTACAGTCAGGTTTTCTGAGTTGCCAGGACCGCCTATTTATTTTTGCTCTATTCCTGAGCCTTCAATAAAAATGGGTTTAAAATTAATAGAATTAAGTCAAAGAGTCAACTATCAAAAAGCAATCCTTCATAATGAGATATTACTTCATACCCATTAAGGAGGTTATTATCAAAAATTGGAAAATAGCCAGGCTCAATGGTGCACACCTGTAATCCCAGTGGCTTGGAAGACTGAAGCGGCAGGATCCCAAGTTCAAAGTCAGCCTCCGCAACTTAGTGAAGGCCCTAAGCAACTTAGTGAAGCCCTAAGCAACTTAAATAAAAAGAGATTTGGTGCAGCAGTTGTATTTCCAGAATGGTCAGGGCCCAGCACAGATATTCTCTAGCTGTCCATGTCTCTGTCTCTAATAAAATATCAAAAGGGCTGGAGCTGTGGCTCAGTGGTTAAGAACTTTAGGTTCAATCTCTGGTACAAAACACACACACACACACACACACACACACATATATATATATATATATATCAGACAATAACAAGTGTTGGCAAGGATGCAGGACATGAACTCTTGTGTCTCACTGGTGGGAATGTAAATTGGTACAGACACTATGAAGGAAAGTGGAAAGTTTGGGGTTCCTCAATTTAAACATGGAATTACAATGTGATCCAGCAATTCCACATCCCAATAAATGCGCCAAAGAACTGAAAGCAGGGACTCATAGATATTTGTATACCCATGTTCACAGCAGCATTATTTACAACAGCCAAAAGATGGAAACAACCCAAGTATCTACTGATGGATGAATAGATAAACAAAACATAGTATATACATTTAATGTAATATGACCAGTCCTTAAAAAGGAATGAAATTCTGACCATGCAACCACATAGGTGAACTTAGAACACTTTGGGATAAGTGAAATAAACCAGACACATGTTACATAATTCTACTTAGATGAGGTACCTAGAATAGTAAGATTTCTAGAGACAGAAAGTAGAATGGTGGTTTCCAGGGTCTGGGGTTGAGGGGAGATGGGAAGTTATTGTTTAACACATATCAAACTTCAGTTCAGAATAATGAAAAATGGATAGTGGTGATGGTTGCTCTATGATGTGAATATCCACAATGTCACCAAATTATACACTAAAAAATGGTATATTTTTATGCTGTGAATATTTTACCAAAATAAAAAAATTCTAAAATTGTTTAAAATAATAATAAGTAATTGTAGTGTAGTTCTTCCCAATCAATGTACTTAGGGAGAGGGTAGTCGAGAGCTCGCTAAAGCAAAAGAAGAGTACAGTAGGGAAAGATGGCACAGGGAAAGCCAGGCACTTCTCCCAGGGTGGGTTTTTCCTTCTGCCAACTTTCGAAGATCCGGCTTTGCTTCTTTGAAAAGCCCTCGAGACATCCTTTTTCAAGTAAAATGAATAAACTAAGCTATGAGGAACTCCCTTGTCCACCATAGGAGTCATGGGCAGCTAGAGAATATCTGTGCTGGACCCTGACCATTCTGGAAACAACAACTGCTGCACCAAATCTCTTTTTGATAAGCTTCACTTTCTGTTGTCATTAGCCCACCATGTTTTAGGAGAATTCTGCTACAGGTTCTTTCCGAAGCTTTCAGGTCCCTCTCAGGGATTACATTTAAAGTCAGAGGCTTCCGGCTGGCAAAGAGGAAGCACCTTTATCTCTTTAAATGGGCTCTGTTCTCTGGAGAATATTTCCTAGAGATCAGCTGAATTTTATGGACCTAGAATAGGGTTGCCAACATTTTTATTTTGTCAAATAAGGAATACTTTTCTAAAATGACTGTCATTAACAATGATCATTTCATAGATGATTTTCCTACCTTCCAGGTACGGAAGATACAGTTTCACAATAAAGGCAGCCCACTCCATAAAAAGAGAGCTGACAGTCTGGCATCAGTATTGTCACAGCATGTAGACATTTCCAAGTGGATCTGCATTACATTGCATTTGTCTTCTACATTCATCAAGAGCCACCTATTATGTCTTAAATAGTCACCTCCCCCGAAAGCAAAGGAAAAGGACTGACAGGGAATTGATGAGATTCCTTCCAGACCTATTATTCTGTAACTTAATCAAATACCAAGTTGCTTTCCATTTGTGTCATTAATTCAATGTGTCTATTTGCAAAAACTATGGATGTATGTG